TCATTATCTTTTCACTGCGTTGATATGTGCGTATATATCAGAAAAAGGCTAACCTCGTCGTATTAATTCTCGAAAATACCTTCACTAAGTGCCCATACTTATGCTTGGTACGAAGTACTAGTCGTGGTCCATGAAATACCTCGTACTGCTATCGTAAATGACCATCAGAGCGTTATCAGATGGCCTAGTGAGATGTTAATGTATATTTGCAGTTAGTGACACAATATGTATGCCCATATTTCATTTCCAAACAAGAAAATTTTATAGAGTAATGTAAGTTTCAACCCAGTGATTTAACTGCATGTTCATTACTATCTACACCTTGTATAAGTGAAGTGCTTCCATTCAATTGTCGGCGAAGCTACAGCATCTTCCTGTCGGGTTTCTTCACTAAACTTTCATTAGGCACAATACTTGGTATTGACGGGGCCAGCCGGAAGTATCTGTGACGCAGTCGAATTAGTCTTTGGCCGAGAACGTGCTCTGTTGGACGACTAACCTCGTCTGCCCTGTGTTAGCTGTCTTTGTGCTAGTTGTTCTGCTAGCGACATTATAGTGAATAAAAATTACTGGGCTTAATATCACGCATGAGCAAAAAATAATAAATAAATCTGAAAAATAAGCAGAAAGAACATAGGTAGAATAAAGTTAGCTAAAACAAAGTGGAAGGCAGACTGTGCAAGAAACAGGCTCACCAAACTGGAAACCGACTTTTGCCAAAACAGATACTGGTATTACAGACGAACATCTTTCAACTTCACAGATGACTGTGTCTCTGTCAAGGAACTTAGCCCTAAGTTCCTATTGTAACGAAGACACTTGGAACCGATAAAGACTATGTATTTGTTTCAACTTTAAATCCAAAACACCAGTATTCCTTGAACGAAATTATATTGTTTGGCAATTAAAGCAAGACAAAATACAAAGTCTACAAACAAATGTTTAGTACAAATGAAGTTATAAAGTACTTTTATTCGTGTTCTTTCCGCCTTTCTCCAACTTGCACGCAATCGAACGGGTGAGGATGTGTTCTATGACGTGTTAATTTTTCCGCGCCTCAGGTTTTCTCGTCTTTCATTGGCTGAAACAGTGGTGGCTAATTTGATATTTAATTTGTCCTTGTTAGGTGATGTCATTGCAGGTTTGTGTGCTTGAGTTATGCGTTGTTTACAAGCATATTTGATGAAAATAAATGTAAAATTTGAGTATTCTAACGTTTTCTTTTACTTATTTGTGCATTTACAAGGCTTGCCTTATCATACACTCGGTTTGTTGGCCTATCGGTTGCTGGCGATGTCAAGGAACCCGTGAGTTCTTTGGCTTTTCTCGATTTTAGGTTATACGTGCAGCATTTTATCGGTGGATATTGCTCAGTGATGTATTTCAGTGTTGCTTTTTCTACGGAATTATATTGAAACAGTCGTGAGACAGATGGATACTAATTGACGAAGCCTTTTTAGTTTATTTCAGGTAGCCAATGCGAGTGAGAGCATTATTTATCCTGTAATATTGTGTGCATAATTCTATTTTTGTTTACTCTTCCACCTTTTGTAGTTAATAATGTGCTGCATAAGTGTCAACGATGGACATGGTCTCGTAACTTGTGCGCATCCGAAAGCGGGAGAAGTAATCGCAGAAATGGACCATTTTCTTAATATGTAAACAAACTAATGTTGTATTATAATAAATATGAACTTTTCATGTAAATCTTGTTGTCTTTCAATTCATGTATTCGCTTTGTGAGCACGGCATGCTAGACCGGTGCTCCCTAGGACTTGAAATCGTTACTATACTTAAGTGTAATTCTGTAGGAACACTATCGACCGATATGCGTGGTGAATTATAAGTAGTTTAGTGGCCCTTAAGTCTCTGTCTACAGTTACGTGAAAACGTCTCATAGTCATACGCAAGTCTGTATGGAACAATGACAACAATAGGTAGGACTTAGGCACTGCATTACAGTTCCAGTTCGTATACGGTTAGGTGTATTCCAAATCAGTGTATTACTAATATTTAAATTAAAGCGTTATAGCAGTCCCTATGATAACGGGTGTTAACGTATACTGTAAAATTAAGTTTACGCATAACGAATAAATAAGTAGGTTGAGCTGTAACAGTCGTAGTAACATTCCGCTTACGTTTAATTATGCAGTCAAATAAATCATCAAGTATCATTGATAAGTCTGACATCTGCATCGTCATGCAAAAAAACTTAGTTTCACTCAGATAGAATAAGAAAAGTATTGTAAGCAGGATGTTAAATCTATTTAATGAAAAAAAATAAGCAAATGTCTTTACACAATTGTTTTTCGTAATTATTTCGCCCATGTTGAATTGCTGTGACCAAGTTGACTGACATTACCGGATATCTGTAAATAAGTGAACAAAGTGTATGTTTTTAAATCGCTGAAGTAAGGAAGAAGTAATGTTAAAGTTAAACGCTTTAAATTTCCATACCTTTGCTGAAAAAGGTTCATTTTCCTTTTTCATTCTTTGGTGATGACAGCATTCTTCTGTATTTTTTAATGTCACACAGAGATTGTTCGTCTAATACAGTATAGCAGCAAGCAAACAATAAGTGTTAACTAGTAAACCATTCACAATGAACACTGTACAGAAAACTTCATCACATCTTCATTTTAACCAACTTTTCCTTCACGCACAGAAGCATGCAGTCACTACATACACTCAAGAATTGTAACCTGAACATCACAAAATCCCTATAGATAACTTCTTTCATAATAAATGATTTAAACATATGAGCCATAAGTGCATCTTCCATATCCTTCATAGCCAGAAGTAATTCATTAAGGATCTCAGAATATCTTAGTGATCTGAACACGAACGATTGTTAAGACTGGGATAACTTATGTAACAGGTGCAGTAGTTGTAGGACACACCTGCTAGCTACTAATCGACAGAAAATTGATACTAATTTTAAGTAGTCTGACATTTCAGGAGGACCATCTGCACTATTCTTCGTAACCCCATGCACACTGATATACACATAATCTGATGCCATTTTTGACAATGAACAATTAAAGCCTTCTGACATTCCAAGTGCAAATGTCAATTAAAGTAGTATCATATCTTCGCCTAAGCAATTTTAAATGGGAACTTCATCAAAGTAGTTATAATCACCAGGAAATGCAGCAGCCTGTCTCATTCATTGCATGATCTCTTCCATGTGCTATGGAATATTTCAGCCATCACAGATGATAAAAGAAGTGTCTGACATCCTCAAAACACACATCTAACTTATGTCTCTAGGCTATTTCTCTTTCAAATGCACCATTCTCATAGGATAACTGGGATGACAACAGCCATTGCCTGCAGTCAATTTACAACCTTAAGATCTGAAACAACTCACAAAAAACAATGCCTAAATGCTCTGAAACCCTAATAATGGACTTTTTATGCGATATTTCTTCAAAATGATGACCTTTTTATTAGTAATTCGTCTAGGCTGTCATTACAATTTTACGCATTACTACGAACACAATACACAAAAATATTGCATTTTTCGGCTACAGAAGCCTAAAACTAGTCAAATAGAATCTATTTTCACAATACTGGGCGGTTAGAACGTCTCTATAGGCGTGAACGCGATAACCCATGCAATGCGCGAAAACACCTTATCATAGAACATAGCCTCACTCCAATCGAACCATTCGCGCCTTCGAGTTGCCCACCAATGGCTGCCAGTTCCAATAAACAAACGTTCAATGTTCACGTCCATTGACAGTCTCCAAAACTTAATTTTCGAAAGCGTGGAAGACTGAAAATGAGGCGGGAGACCTAATCAAGCACAGGAATGACACTCATCTTTCAGCAGATTTGGGGAATTGTTGGCATTAGATGGTTGGAGGCAGTCGGCAGAAGGCCTTGGACCTAGGTTTCGTGCTAGTTGACGCTTACCAGTCAGCAAGGCACATATGCAACCTTAAAGGAATTCAACCCTACTGAGATTCTAACCCGCGTCACCGAGTGCTGCAGTCAGGGACGTTACCGCTGAGCGATACAGGCTCGCGATGGACCCCCTGTAGTACTGGATATTTTTTATTGGACACCAGTTAGTAACTAGTGGAATGTGTCTAGTCCTATCTTCAGTGAAGACTCAATTCTATCGGTCCAGCTCGCTATGTGTCCACCCTGCTAGGTGGCTAGCCATCACAGTGCACTGTGAATTATTGGTGTTCTATGGCAGGATGGTTGTGGAATACTACAAGTCGTAAAGAAAACACAGTTTCTACTGGGTTGCTTACCCAACCCATGTGAGTTCCTCAGTTATTTACTACCCCTGGTTGGCCATGGCCACTGCTGTAGAAGCCGTAGAAAATCAATTGAAACCCTATTTTCTACGTCATATCATTAGATGCGAAATCAAATTGCATGTTTGGTTATGAGTCACCACGCCTTACTATGGGATCCACGCCACATATTAATTGTGGAAAATGATGGGAATGAAACATTAACTTGTATTATACCACCGGAAGTCTTCTTCAGGGTATTTAACTGGTGACTAATTTTCAGTCATTTACCTGGTGCCAGTAAGAAGGAAGTTGTCTTGTCATTTCGTAGGTCAAATGTTTTATTAGGAGTCCAGTAAGTGAAAATTCTTCGAATTCAGTTTCAAACACGAATAAATAATTACGGATTTAACGAATACTCAATTTGATTTCCACTACATAAGACGATTGCACATCATCCACTAAATGATAGATTCATTAGTACCTTCAGTTCTGTAGTTTTTGGTATGGGGGTAAAAATTTGAGGAGATTTTAATGGCCTATTGGGTTGAAACAACTTGTATACAGTTTCTCCTGCGTGAAGTAACCTTATAACAATGGATATTCGGTTCGATTCTGACAATAATAAAAGTAAGCTTCTATAGATTTGTATGAATTGGTTGATTAATTGTGTACCTTCTGAAATTTAAGATTAAAATACGAGATCATAACTGATAATGACTGACTCTAACTTGCTTGCATTAAGGTCACTAATTGAACCGCAGTCCTGTGGGAATTTCGAATTTCCTAAGGGTTTGTACGAGTTGGAAGGCTTTCTATTGTAGACTCAATGGAATTTGTTTTCTGTATATATTAGTCATTAAGTTGTCATGTAACGTATTGCTATTCTACTTTGTAATGTATTCATAGGGTGAATTTCAAGATTAAACCCTGGTCCTCACACTTAGCAGGTTTGATGAGTTACATAACTAGTCAGACTTCATCACGCAATAACGTTATTTAACAGGAAAGTCATGGTTCACGCTTAAAACATGCCGTCGTTATTTACAGTTCCACCATTACTAAGTTATGCACTTGAAAAAACATACCTTAAATGCTGAAACTAGACTGCGATAATCTGAGGAAACAATCAGGTTATTCGTCAAATAATACACTCATCAATCGGTTGGTTTTTAGCGACGCTAATATCAATTAGTCCAGTGTACTCTTATATCAGTTACGTGTTTCCATGTGTTCTCCTTAGTTTCTGACCTGGCTTTATAAACTGCTTTTATACTTGTCCTAGTCTGCATTTATTCTTTTCCTATGCAACATTATTTCCTAGCTCCAGGAAAACTTATAATCTGGTGACGCCACCTGGAGTTGAATTGTTCGAAAATTCGTTGTAAGATCTCAAGCATCGTGATGTAACTGTGGTTCAGTCACAACTGGTACATGAATAAAAGCATATAAAAATGTCACATTCTTGTCCTTCTATAGAAGTGACACCACATGTTCTAAGTTGCCAAGTTTGTACGTAGGATATGCAAGACACTATGCATTTATCGAATTTAGACATAACTCCACTACTGTTTACTAACTTTGGCAACTCAACCAACAACCATTAAGTCGCTAGCCCAAAATTTGTCCTCAACCAAAATTTTAGAAACTGGAATGAAATGGGCACTGTTTTGCTTAATTTGTCTGGGTCCGTCACTTTGTTAACATGTTTGTTATCAATACATTTGATGGGACTTCCTTATGTTTCCGAGTATTAAGTGTTTAGTCAATAATGTAGACATTAAGTGTGATGATGTAAACTTTGATGGATACTCACTAATTCTAATGCAGTAAATAGAGATTATTTCCCAGATTGGTTAATTGATTGAGTTCAAACGTTTACTAAACTGCGTTCCAGAATTTGTTGTTACTACTGCAGTTTGATGTGGACGAATTTAGCTGTCTTTGAAACTTCACGAACTGGGAATAGCTAACTTCAAGTGTTGCTTAAATTTGAGATAAGCCATTTCGAAAAATTCCAGATCTTTTTGTTGCAATACAGGAATCACTACGAATCAATGTGCCCGTGAAAGCTGATACCTGGAGGTTCCCTAAGCTGTCCATCCCCATTATTTATATCGTGGTGTCAAAGATTTTGGTTGTTGATGTCAATGCTCTTCAGAAAGCTGGCGTTTTGGAAGAATTGCCATCATTTAATCTGTTACCGTACATGAATACATTAGAAATTACATCCTGACTGCCTCAGTACATTTTTTCAATCTTTCTTTCAAAGTTGAACACTGCCACAAGACTTCTGATCGACGAGGTTGATTGACTGCTTTAGGTCAAGAAATATGACAAGTATAAAACTTGGGCGCTGTGGTAGAGTATAACTCCATTATGGATGAAATTTTATTATTTTTTTATCTTATTTTCTTCTAGGAAGAAAAAAGTTGTGTAACTTGATGTGATTATAAGCAATAGTTTGTGTTCGAAACGTCATCAGTTAATCTTACTGTGTAATACTGCGTTATTTATCAAAATAAAATCTTATCCATAATGGAGTTATACTCTACCACAGTGCCCAAATTTTATACTTATAAAGCAAGATTTTTCTGGACATTTTGCTTTGTAAGCCACAGCTCCTTCAACGCCGAATTATTTTAGATAATTTATAGTGATTTAGTCTGACTCGGCGCACAAATTATTTCGAGAAGTTCGTAACATCTACGGTTTGGAAACTTATAATTTCAGACCAGCAGATTTCCTTTTTGGCTCCAGAGTTCTATATTCATAAATATTCCTACATATTTATGAATAACTAGTAACCAACTTGAATATTTCCGTTGAAATGGTTGATATTAAAGTTGGTCTTTTATTTATTACTTTTATGTGGCTCATCTCGATGTCCGCGTTGTATCTCCTGTTTAAATAGATAGTAGAATGTTATTTTCCTAGTATCAAATTGCTATCTAAGAGCAAGTGTAGTGCTTACTAATCCTCTCTATCTTAGCAGTTTTGAAACATGTTATCTTTAGTCAGATAAAGTTAAAACCATACAGGCCTCTTCATGTGGATTACTTATCTTTTTATTTGAAACTTGGTACAATATTGGCATCAATAGAGAGACCACACAATTTCTTCTTAGCATTGAAAAAGCATCTATTTATTTATGTATTATTTACTGCATCTCTCACATTTTCATGTAATAATCTACTCATTGGTATTTTATTTCACTCTTAGGATAGTTTTTCTCCTAAGCATCCCTCTAAATAGTTGAACCAATGCAGCAGCAGCTACCCGTCTTAAGGATTGCCATAATTGGATCTGGTGGAGTTGGTAAGAGTGCTTTAACTCTCCAGTTTATGTATGATGAGGTGATTGCTTTATTTGCGTTTTGACATTTCAACTTATTTAGTTTGTTGAGGACTATGAACCTACAAAGGCCGATTCATACAGGAAAAAGGAACGTTTAGACGGTGAGGAAATACAATTCGATATTTTGGACACTGCAGGTAATGTATCTATTCCATTCAAAACGATGTACTGGTTGAATGTTTTCCAAAAGATTTTACGCGTTTTATTTCAGTAACTTTGGGACTATTTTCTGTCTGCTTTGCTTCATTGTTGCTGGGCATTTCCCTAATGGTTTAGGGAGACTTAAAAAGACTCATTCACGTGCATAGACTGAGATTTGGCTTTTTATGTTCCACAACATGCTTACTTGTGCTATTCAATTTTATGAACTGATATGAAATTTGGAAAGCATTTAACTCCCGTAAACACAGTTCAATGCTCTTGGATGGTATTATCTTGAAGAAGCCATATTCTTTTAAACAAAATAGTCTAGACGCTTATTAGTTTAGTTATACCTCTGTATGTGTCTTGTCACTTTAAATATATATATATATATCTGTTATTGAATGCAACTGTCCTAATCACTTGCCTCTTATTAAGGGATTTTAAGTCTAAGAAAAGAATTCACATTTCTTTTATGTAAAATCTAATAATTCTCCTGCTTATTGTCATCATTGTCTTATTTACTTTCGCTCAATGAATATTGCAATCTATGGTTCTTTTTCTCTGAAAAAACTATAAACAGGTCAGGAAGATTATAACGGTATCCGAGATTATTATTTTCGAAGTAGTGAGGGATTTCTTCTGGTATATGCTATTGATGACGAAGAATCCTTACGTGCTCTGCCGATGTTTCAGTAAGTGTATGAATTAAAAAGAATTCTCGAGTTTATTAATTGTTTGATCAAATCGTGTTTTTAACTTTCTTTAGTGGCATTAAGTTTGAAGTAGTTACTAAGTAAACCCTTCATGTTGTATAAACAAATGTAATTTTATTTCTACCAGCAATACTCCTGGCATATCCCATAAACAGATAGAAGAACAAAACATTCTAGGACTTTGCACAGGATTACATCTGTTAACCTGTCATACTTTCAGACACGATACCAGGAAGAATTGAACAAAAACAAAAAATGAATGAAGTGCTACTCAACAGCCCTTAACACTTCATATAGCTGGTATTGACTCACATTTATTGGATCGGGATTGGCGATACTAGTTGTCTGTGCAAACGTCGCATGTTTTATGGAATTTGAATCAATGAACCTGATTCAAAATGGACTACCTAGAACTAATGAGCTAAAACTACGGCTATAGAAAACAATGAGTTTTGAAAAAGGCGATAGTCAAGTTACAGCTAGTTAGAATGCCTAAATTTCTGAAGGCCGTAAGGGTGTATTATATGTATCAGACTATTCTAAAGAGTACCCAACCACTGTATCTTAACACCCTAGTCTAACCAAACGTAATCTTACCAATCTTCACTTGGGTAACACATCCAAGTCAGCTCAATTGGTGAAGATTTCCAATCAGTTTGGTCAGATTATCTTCCTTACCTAACGCTACGTCTAATTCCAACGTCACTCAATATATTATTCTATTACTGTTAGGTGAAGATAACCTGGGGCCACTTTTTTTATTCTACCCTTCGGAATTCGTTCCACAGTTCTTATATAGTGGGGACTTTCAGCCAATGGGTCTTGGGTTGAAATCCTATTCCAGATGCATAGCACTACCAGCCCCACACTATTCTTGTGACTGATAGCCTCTGGCACATTAAAAATTTGTCCCAGATAATCGAGTTTTAACTAACCTATGAGCATCACTAGAGAGCGTCGATGAGCATTGTTGATATTTGTTTCACAGGCAGACAAAAAACACGTAGTGTATGACCTAAATGAAAATAAAAAAACTTACGTTTTTGTCTTAGAAACTAGGTTGATCAGCAATTAAGACATGTCCTCTGGGACCATCTATTTTACCTTCATGCTGTACTGGAACATGATTACTACGTCGTTAGAAATACTGCAGTGTGAAACAAAATTCTACTGAGTACCGTTTCGCCACATTTGCTAACACTTTCACATTATAACATTTTTCACATAAGAATTCATGACTATTAATTAGGTTGATTGTAGTATCAGCCTACATATGATGATAATTAAATGTTCCTTTAATCATACAAGCCGTATCGGTTTTGCAAAGACTAACCTTAGAAATATCAACCGGAGTGGGTATTAATGCTGACACCACTGCAAGTTTGTCAGTTTGTCTGTACAACTGGCTATTAAAGCTCGACTGAGCACACCTTTACACAACAAAGCATTACCATTTTTTTCGTAGATCAAGCTACTGACAGTTTACGTCTGTACTCTCATCCGTTAGTATTTTCGTTTATAATGAATTATCACTGATTAATCTAGTTCTTGAAAGAATGCCTTTCAGATTATACGTTCTCAAATTTTCTCTGGTTGGTAGGTTCTAATATTGTGAGAGCCAACGAACCAATGTGTAATAAAGAATGCGTTCTCGAAGGAAATTTTGCTTCATGAATTTTTGTCCTATCGGTTAACGTGAAAGTCTTGGTATAGGTTCGTTTATAAACTAAACTATCTGTCAAACCGTTTATAATAGTTTCTTAGGGTATTCAGCCGTTTTGTTTTCAGTTGATAACCTTTCACATCTTAGAAATTTATCAAATTTAAACTCTAGAAATTCAGTTACATTTTGTGCGCATATCTTTTCGTAGTCACCATAACAAAATCAGACTCTTTATCAGCCCTAATTCAGTTAATTTTAACGCTATGATGTAGGCATTTAAGCGCATTCCTTTCAGGTATGGTATCTGTCTGTTTGTTTTTTCAAACGGGCATACATATGTGTCGATGTCGAAAAGCTTAGATTTAAACTAACCTCTTGATTTCAGTTGAAACGTTTTAATTCATCAACTGATCGCAGGTAAATGAGATTTCTGATAATTCCGGTTAATCCTCGGCTCTTTGCAGATAAATTAGCCATAAAAATGTTTAGTACTGAAAAATTGTCTGTTGTATCCTCCAGTAATATGCGATTCATCGCTTGAAAGTTCCTGCTAATCTTGCAAAGACACCTTGTATTTTAGGAGTGAAAAGTTGCAGTCAATAATCACTGGAGGACTGGGCATAATTTTGGTAACCAATCTCTTATCACACAACAAGATCATATGATCTGTATACTCAAGTTTGTATAGAATTTCTACGGGTAAAAGATATACACTATCACATACCTTCAGATTGTTGACAAATTGCTGTCAATGGGAAAGCTGAAAAAAATTAACACCCGTGTAACTTTTGTGTTTGTTTATAAGAATAGTTCTGTATCCAGACTTTACCCTGAGGCTTTCTTGACCAACACTTGATTTCAAGCCCTTCATAAAATAAATACTCCATGTAGAGTAGTTTTCTAAAGCTGCACAACCTAAATTGTAATATCGCTACTAGTAATAATACCGTATAGTCTGTTCTGTGGTCATCTTCCCCGTGAAACTTTACTGGTGGGTATATCTGGCATCACCTCTCCAATCAATATACAAGTTCAAAACGTTGGAATTCTAATGAAAAGTACACTCTGTTCAAAGTGTTTAACAAAATTAGACTAATATTTGCAAGTCAAATTTCGATCACAGCTCATACAATTTTGTTTATTATATCTTGATGACTGTTGCATGACTCATATGATTGGACAAAGTCTTTTTAAAAACAAGAGATGTCCTTTTTATATGTTAATTTCGATTAATTCCCCTGAAGAAGTTTATACAAATTTATGAAAGAAAGCTTTGTGTATTTTGAGTTAACATGCACACAGTAATTACTCCTTCATCCATATACACATAATTTTACTATTTCAGTGAACAGGTAGTTCGTATCAAGAATTGTGAACAACCACCAATGTTAATTGTTGCTAATAAATGTGATCTAAAAGATCCTAAGCAAAAAGACTACACATTGCAGGGCATGCAATATGCAAAATGTTGGGGCGTACCTTTTGTGGAGACATCGGCAAAGATGTGTTGTAATGTGGATAAGGTAAATTGAACCATCTAATTTTATCAGAAAAAAATATATTTCACTTTAAAATTTAATTAATTTTTATCGGTATTCTTTTTCCTTCCTTAACTAGTTATCTGTGCATTTATAAATGGACTATGTTTTGAATGAGATCTCTTTTTTATTATCTTATTCTATATGTCGGCAACCCTGACACCAGATAGGGAAAAACTGAAGACATCTGCCATCATAAACATCCATTTTCTCTTATCCACTTCCTTCAGCCGATCACTTTCCAACCGTAAAGTATGACGGATCGAACTGCTGCTGCTGCTGCTATACATGTCCATGGTGCCAAAGGTGACACAAGTTGGCTAATACCAAATGAACCTTTTGTATATTTGCTGAAATTTCGTCAACAATCTGTCCATTAGGAGAGCAGATACAACTTCTAAAATAAGTGAAGTGGTCAGCACATTCATAAATTTCGCTTCTAGACGAGAGCTCTGGGAGTCAGTGAAGACCAATTCTTCAGTATCATTTTACAGGAGAAAATGACATGTCTAGCATACTAAGATTTGATCAGTATGTTCGGAAAACTGCGTTTTGTGTAGGTTTTTATCTGAAAGAATACTATTATCTGCATACTGTAGATCAACGTGACCTTTACATGGCTAACAAGTGGATCTCCAAAAAATAGAAGTCGGCAAGGGTTGCATCCATCAATACATCTATATAAAAATTGAATAAAATTTGTGGCACTGAGCATTCTTGAATAGACAACATTCCGATTCAACATTTACTGAGTGCACTAGGTGGAGAAAGCAATCTACTTGGTACCAGACCTCATGCATAGGTCTATGTAATCTGTAATATGTTAAAGCGTAGGCGTGTTTTGCTTACAAGTTGCTTTTATTAACTGAACATTCTAGCCTAGTAGCAAACAAATGGCGGTTTTTAGGGATTTAGTCTAGTCAATATACAACCAAACTCTTAGCAATTTGACTTGGATACCATGGGATTTCTGAACATATGACGTAGAAAGAACACTTGGAGAGTAGATTAATGATGAAGTCGGTTCGGTAGATAAATTTCACGAAGATCTCATATGAGAATATTTAAGGCATAGTTTGTATCAATAGTAAGAATCTCTGCAGTCTTCGGACTATACAAATTCTTACTACTGAAAGATAGAACGCATAAACTTTCATTATACCAAGCAATATTTAGAACAGCCTACTGTCAGCATAGTTATATCAATTACCTCAATAAACACAACTGTCTAAAGATACAGATATAGACTACCGTTTAATTAATTTCTGTTACAAATTCAATAGTTGTTTCAAACGTTTCAATTCAAACTTTGTTTCTAAGTTATGTACAAGTCGATAAAACAGACCAATTATATATATATTTATATATATATATATGACTAACTGGTTTAAGCGTAGAACTTTGCACAGATGTGCAGCAGTTCGAGTTACTACACTCCATGTAGCATACAAAGCAAGAGAAAAGAGATTCAAAAGAGAAATAATAAACAGAAGTGGGAGCGAAAAAGATTAATAATACGGAAGAACAACATAGTTTTATTGGATATTGTAAATCACAAAGAGTGAATGCATCTGTGTCAGCCATTGACAGCGATTTTGAGCCATATCACCAATTGTCTCCAGCCACTGGTTTTTACCATCCCGAGGACCCCAACCAGGAAGCTAATCTACACGTTCCTACTTGACTGGCTGGTTTATACTAACTGTTATGGATTTCATTGACTGATGAAGCCATGTTTTGGTTTGACCAACCCTAGGTTTTTTCCAACTTGATTCTAT